ACGCAGCTTGTGCAAGAACTGAAGCAGTTCGACCATCCCAAGCGACATCGATTTGATTTATTGATATAAACAAGCAAGATTGACGCATTTGGGACGAAGGGCAACCTGAAGAGATTCAAGAGCTGCCATTTCATACAGAAAAAACAACAGTTTGATGTGGTTTATGGGCCATTGGAATCATCAATCCATATTTCTTCAAAAATTTTGTCGTTGAGAATGTAACCGTCAATGGCGTTCATTATCGCGCATTGACAATCGACCATTTGAAATTGAAGTTCTTGATCTCGGCGACATTTGGTTTCAACAAGAGGGCACCACTTCCCCCACGTCTCTTCAACCAATATATTTATTGAGAGACCACTTCGGTGAGCCGGTCGCACCGTCAGACATTTTCTTGTGTGAATATGTAAAGTCTAAAGCCTATGCGGGCGATCCCGCTTCGATACAGGCACTGGAGTAAAACAGTTAAAATGCTCGGACGATTCATCAAAAATTTGGCCTTAACGAATGGACCATATGTGACGTAACAGCGGCCGACATTTGAAAATGATGATCTTCAAAAAATTTATCTCAAAGAATCATGTTTTGAATGATAATCAACATTTCCCAATAAATTTGTATTTCCTTTGTTTCCCCCTTTACATGCGACCATTACGAAAATGTCCAACTTTCGTAAATAACGGCCCTAAGTTAATAGGGAATGTTCATTATCATCGCTGGATATGGAGTTTTAATTGTGAAGAGAATAAAAATTTATATTTTTAAGAATGTCATGAGACTGGTACAATTTTGGAACAAATTTCTTCAGTTTTTTATGGACTTATGAGTATTAAGCGTTTCAGCAGATTAAAAAAACGGTTTTTTTTACAAAAAAAAAACCCTTTTTTCTCATGATTTCTGTCCAGATGTGCTCAAATACGGAGCTTTTCCGCATGCAGTATTATTAAAAACCGTAAAGAACATAAGAAAATCTCATATTAAAACAAAATTTTTTTTTTTAATTCTTTTAATATATCTGCGATAAGATTGAATTAGGATTTTGAAAAAGCGTAACCTCGCTTTTTTCGAATAAAATTTTGTAGCAATATGTATCTTACACTATTGTACTAGTATAAAATTGTTCGAGGCCGTCGAAAGCTCTGCACCAAATAATCCTACAATGAGGCTACAGCTGCAGCCATCGCCGCAACCACAACGACATTTCATGTAACCGATCATTTGTATCCTATCCACAAACAGCTGATCGCTTCATGAGTATCTTATTTAGTTATTTCGAAAGTTGAAAATGAAGTTGGTTAAATCAGCATTGATAAAGGGATATTTGTTGGTATTATTACGCAATAAATCCTTCTGGAAGTTTGCTCCAATTCTTCACTGTGTTGTTATTATTCTGAAGAAATATAAATATTTGAAATATATTATTGGCGCTTTGCTTCTTCTCCTCCATTTTGTGGTTCGCGTCTTGAAGTTTTTCCAACAAATGGAGAAACCTACAGTTTATTTAACGGCCAATGGAGTTTTAGCTTTTATTTCATGTTAGAAGGGTTTGACCTTCCAAGAGGAGGGTCGACTGCAACTACAAAAAATTAACTTAATTTGGATGTTGGTCTGTTTGCATTGAAGTGACCAAGATTTGGAAATATTTGGCGACTGCATTCCAAATTTTTTTTTTTTTTTATCAAATATGGGGTATTCAGTAAGTTTTACTTAATCAATTTTATTAAAGTTATACAAAATACGAATCGAATTAATGAAAAACCAAAAAAAAAAAAAATTTAACTTATTAAAATCTAAAATCTATAATGAAAATCCAATATTCATTTGGGAGCTATGGCTATGGCTGTACCGTTATGGTATGGCATTACTAATCAGAAACAGTATCGCAGATCAAGTTGATTGGATCATCTGTTTTATGCTGGTAAGACTGCGGTCTCTCTGTTTTAATCTCCAAGTGGTGAAATATTCTCATTTATATGACGCTTTCATGCGATAGGTCGTATCAGCTGAGACGTAACGGTTGCTGTTGGTTGTATGGTAAAATTGAGTCTTGCCATACAAGAGCTTTCAACTAAGGTACTTGTTTCATATAATTTTTAATATTGTACTAAATTCTGAAGTATAACGACGATGGATCTTGACGTAGTGAGGCAAATGACGAGGTAAAGAGAACTTTCTTCAAAGTTTATTCTAATCAAAGGGTACAAGTTTGTTTGCTTGAGAAGCAACATTGTCTGTCATAAAATGATAGGACAAACGTAAACAAAAGTTTCAATTTCAATTATGCCTCGGGTTGATTTACTCATTTGTTGAAGTAATGATTTTCAATCCTGAGTTCGCTTTCAATTGACATATCAGCAGTTTACGGTAATTGATGTCACAGTGTTAGCTTTGAAATAATTTTACACTCATTGAATACAGATAAACAGTTAATAATTAAATGAATAAAAAAATGTAGTATTAATTTAACTTAAATACAATGTGCGTTCACAGGTGAGACCTATCTATTCGTTTGCGTGTGTGTGTATGTGAAGCCTATAAATCGCGATGCAATCAATGGTTGGCCCATTGAAGGATTGTTTTGTTTGGCTTCGAGTGGCGATAATGAGCTGTCAGGTTACATAAATGTTATGCTTGCGCTTTAACGGTTGCGCGCAAAAACATGACATTTAGTTGCAGCATAATGCAGCACCCACATACATTCATAAATGCGACATATGCACAAACAAATATAAAGGCGTAACTGGCATTCCCATGAATAAACACATAAAATATGCAAATTAAACACTTACAGATTAACCTACCCATGGCTCCGGCGAATGAGTGCATCTGTGTATGAGTGTATGAGTGTATGAGTGCATGAGTGCATGAGTAGATTTGCCAATTTGAAAATTCATTCGCAAACTTATTGATGCGATAGGAAGTAATTACCTGGTTTTATGCCGAAAAGAATTTTTATGCAGGTATTTATCGATTTATTAAATAAAAACCAGTAGCCGATAAGCGCTCAACAGGAAGCGCAGCAGGGCAGCGCAGGGGCGTCCACACATAGGTATTTACAAACAGAGGTACACTTTCGCTTTGCTGTCACACTTTGACACTTTGCTTTCAGCTGCATAATTATTGTTAAAAGATATTAATGGACGCATCGCGATGGCTTTTATTTACGTTCTTATATGTATGTGTTTTAATATATAATATATGTTTTCATGTGTATGTATGTAAGCGTTTAATGCGCTTGTGTTGGCCACTGTTCACGGCGATATTATGCCATCGCCATTCAAGGCTGAACAACCCAATAATGGCCATTACGTATTTCAATGCATCAAATGAATTTTAAATGAAATATGAGAAAGTAGTAATGTTTAAATTAAATTAAAATGTTATCGTAATCGTTGAAATATTCTTCAGGAACTTATAAATTAATTTAATAATATATATATATATATATATTTAATTAGCTGAAGCGTTTTTTCGGTTGAGCTCTTCCTCCAATTTGTGATTTTGCGTCTGTGAAGTTTTTTCAACAAATCGAGGGACCTACAATTTATACCAAGCCGCGTCCGCTGTTTAGATGTTGGTCGCACCAGGATTTCAACCCGGCCCTTCCGAATGGTAGCACGCAATGCTAAACACTCAACTACTGCGGCGGCCGAGTGGGTATGAAAAAGAAAATTACAATATGAATACTAATAACAACGTCTTGGAGAAACTGGCATACAAACATAGAACTTAGTTGCGTCGTTTGGATCCACTGGAATGACATCAAAGTGGCGTATCGCCCTCAAGAGAAGCTCATGGCATTAGAGCTACATCGAAACGGAGTGGCAATGACTGCCTCGAAGACTTCGAATTGTTTATTTTTGTCAGCCTCAAACATAATTTGTGGTATATATACCATCCGTTTCTCCACTTTAAATACTTATGTACGAGTATATTGCAGCCTCTGACCTCTCGGACCTAAGCGGAAATGCCGAGTTTCAGAATAGTTTCTAATGCTTGGCTTGTCACAGTTTTTATTTATAGTCTAAACCAAATTGGTTATGATTTTGTGTGGCTTAAACTCTAACCTAAACACAGATTAGAACAACGCATGTGTAATCCTCTCTTCAAGTCGAATAACGTCAAACTGCTATAGAAACGCGTGCAGAAGCCAATAAGTTCAAAGCTTTCACAGTTTCTATGCTTGAGCTTTGAATGTTTAAGAATTTACTATCATACATACATATCAATAGCATTCAATTTCCAGTGCAAGCAATAAATACGACTTCCTCATCTCTGCATTCTCTTATGCGTTTCCTTCAATCACACGATTGTCATTCCGGCATCTCACCGGAAAAGTCAATTATCGAATTAATTTACCCGCCCGTGAGATGACCTGACCAACCAATATTCCTATGTTTTATGGCAGAATGAATGCCACGACATCTGCTTACACTAGGATTATGAGTTTGAGTTGAGTTGAGCGCTTGGAACGGAGGTGGCCACTATGTATATAACACAGGTTTACGGAAATTTATGTGTGGCAACAAAGTGCGTTGAAGATGCCATCAGCAGAGCATGCACATATACACAAATACACACACATACTCACGTAGTTATTTACACACTCGTGAGAGCGAATATTCGTCCACGTTCGCTAGCGCATTGACACTCATTATTCCCATTCCAACAAGCGATTCGCCTGCTTAGATAAGCGCACAGGATATGACAGGCGAAGTGATTTGGCTAATTGGTGAGTTTGCGGGTGGGAGATTGAGTGCCGAAGTGCACAAGTGAATGCATGAATTACGGAAGAGCATCACACACCCAAAAAGTCACTTAAGACGGAGCTGATTTCGAGAATTGCTCTTGCACAGACATACATGCCAGGTTGTACTTATATATGTATATACTTAAAGCTGAATAAAAGTCATAAAAGTCGTCTGCTACAAATAAAGCCATTTTGTTGATGACTTACTGAGTACCGAAACTGGACAAAGTGACGTTGAGGAACCGGGTAATTGGTGGCTTGTGCACTCCATTGGAAAGGTGGATAGATTTTTTCCATAAGAACTCTGCAGTGTATGATAAAGGACTTTAGTTGAACTTTAAGGTAATTTTTGATTCTAGATATGAAGGGAATTACCAATAATATGATGTCTTATTGCTTAGAAGCACGGTGGGCTTGGTAAAAAACCGCAATGGTGGAAATGCAGCTGTGGTCTTTGGGAGTGTCAGGTATCCAAGCAAATAAGTGCATGAATGCCTTAGAGCTGTGTCCCCTTTTCAATGATACTAACGTTTTTACATCCCCGCTTTTAGAAATAATCGATATCGTATTTTCTCTGCTGGCAAAAGCAAAGAAATACCTGTGAAAGACCTGTTAGAAAATACTACAAAGAATCCAATTCCGCTCTGCGCCTGATGATTACTTCCAAATTCGTAGCTTTTTCCATCTATTTGCCTAAGCTGTATTTCAAATAAATTTTTATGTTATGACAAAAGGTTTTTAATACAAATAAATAATATATTTTGTAGTGGCGCCCATTTTCAACCCTTCTCTCATTACATAATTCTTTCCTCGCCTTGTAGTTGTGACAGAAATCAACCCTTGATTTGGTATATTTCCATTCTTCGCTCATCTCTCCGCTTTTATTTTCCTTGCAACTGTTCGGATTTCTTGCAAACCAACCGACAAATGAGGTACATTGAATGCGCTTTTTGCAGCGCCGACTTTTTTCACGACTCGCCTGCTGCTACTTCTACTTCCATTGCTCAAGCTTGTTGTTTGACATTTTTCCACATTAAATATAACAATTCTTTTCTTTCATATTTCAAAATACATTATTTTTCTCTCTTTGTCACTTGGCAGTTCTGCCCAAGGCGAAATTTTGTAGAAGTACCACCAAGTGAGCAAATGGGTGCAGTGTTGCCACTATTAATAATTTTCCGGAAATGAAAGCAGAATCTAGCCAGAATACTTAAAGTAGAACTCCCTCGAATTAGTATTGAAAGAATTCCTGAATAGTCCCGAATAGCTCCCATATTTGTTCAACAAAATTTATTAGATACGCTCTGTAAATTTTCTGGAGCTCACTCAGCTGCACTCGGATCTTAAAAGAGTCGAGATCAATTAAGAAATTGGTTATGAAATCACTGCTTCAAAAACACCATATTGATGAAGTGATTCCAAAATAATCCATACACTGTCACTGATATTGCTTTGAAATGAAAATTGTCTCCAACTGATTAGGAAATACTCGATGCTGTTCTCACGATTTGAACAAAAGTGCTTCCAAGGTTTAGTACAGCTACCCTGGGAATCTTTACCAATTAATTCTTAGTTAAGTGCAGCAACATACCTATCCCGTTCTCATCCAAGAATTACCTCAAATGTATCAAATGTCAAAATGATTATGATTTAAGTTTCAAAACAACTTAGAGAAAGTCTAGAACTGTTTCCAAAGGGATCTTTATGCTTCACGTAGTTTCAGTCTCATCCCAGTTACAAGACACAATTTTATATCATCTCTATGACTTTCGCTCAATATGGCAACGCTATTCGAATAACGCTGCTTCACCTTTCTTCACTTGGCGCTTATGGCGATTTCTGCCTTTGTTTGAATCGCCAAGTGGAAAAGGTGCCGGTTAGCGGGCCGGCTGTGGAAAGTGTATGAGCATGAATTCAAAAGAAAAACGTACCACAGCACAAAAATGCATTGTGTTATATAAGAGTGAAGGATATAAGTATAAAAATGTCCTTTTTAGATTTGTTTGCATTTGCAGTATTTCTTATTTCAACAATTTCCCTCGCCCGCGTTTCTGCTAGTTGCAACAAAAGCATCTTACATCATTTAGTACTTTATTTGTTTGTTGCAACAGAAAATTTTTCAAAAACTGACACGTCGCTGATGAGTTGTCCGCAAAAGTGGACATTGGACGTAAACACCCACATGTAAAAGAGAGGCTAAAGCTCCACTGCAGCAGCGCCGTTGTCGTCGTGGTGGTATCTACCCCTATGAAGAAATGTTGAAATGTCTTGCCAAACAGATCTACCCACCTACAGCTCAGCTCACAGACGCTTATCGCTTTGGTCTTTTGAAATTGAAATGCGATATCAACAAATATTATACTCTTCATTGCTTATCCATAGGCGGACAGCTCACCAGTGCAACTGGACGTCGGCACGATTTGGGTGAGGTGGTGAACGATGAGGAGCGTAGATTTCAAGGAACGAGAAAAGTTTTTGTTAAAATTTTTTGATGTACCATAAGTGGCATGTGATGTCTTCTTTGTTTTCAACAACAATTACACTATTTTCCATCAGCCCACAGCGAGCGCCATTTATGAAAAACTTTCAGGCTGAATAAATATGGGAGTAGGTTTCAAAAAGAAGGAACATTGTGAGTTGTATACAGCTTTTCGTTAAAAATTGTGGGAAAAGGTTACGGCTATACTGGCTGGACTTATATAGGCCTGCTGGTTTTTTGTGGTGTGAAGATTACATATTGCTCGAGCTAAAATAGTCTCGTCCATAGTTTGAAATTGCCTTGATATCCAATTTTCTAACGTCTCTACTTTTGAGTCACCTAAGTTTATATATATTTAATATCTACATAAGGTCGAGCAGAAGCAAAGAAGGTGTTCCAAATTCTAACTTGAGTAACTACTACTAAAACCCCTTGCGCTCGCATGAGTCGCATGTCCTTTTGTTTTCTGTTCCAATGCCTTTGTAAATGATCAAGGTGATCTTGCACTCCAATCCAGCAGATCAACTTTCAGTCCTCCGAGCAATTTTTTATATAGTGTCTAACTCTTGGGTTATCCCCAAAGAAACCGGGGATATTTTAAAAGAAAGCTAAAATATGTTTTTCAAAATTTTTTAATGAGCTTTAATCAATTATGTAATTTCCTTTTTGTTGGATGACCTCTCGCCATCTTTCCGGCAACATCATTATTCCACCCAAATGGAACTTCTGGCCTTTATCTGGAAAAAACTAAACAAAATGCGATTTCATAGCCTCGTCATTTTCGAAAGTTTTATCATTTAATGAGTTGTGCAAAGATCGAAACAAATGGTAGTCTGATGGTGCAAGGTCAGGGCTATATGGTGGATGCATCAACAGTTCCCAGCCAACCTCTCTCAGTTTTAGGCGAGTGACCGGACATGTGTGCGGTCTAGCATTGTCCTGGTTCTGATACCTTTACGGCCAATACTGATTCTGCTTTTTGTTGATGGATGTATCGATTTGTCTAGTCGTTCACAGTAGACATCCGAATTAATCGCTTGGTTCCTTGGCAGCTCAAAATATACCAGCCCATCCAAATCTCAACAAACTGACAGCTATTAAATGCATTTCACAAGCGTTGAAGCAGTGTTTTTCCAGTTCAAGACGTCGTATACGATTATGAACCGTTGATTTTGTTATACTTATCTTCTCCCTAATCTCACGCTTAGTTACATGGCGTTCCGATTCGATGAAAGCTCTGATATCGCCATCATCAACTGCACTTGGCCGAATAGAACGTGGCTTATCTTGGAGTGAAAAATCTCCCGAACGCAATTGAAGAAACCAATTTCGCCACTGTAAATAAAGTAAAATTTGGCGAAAATTTCCTTTTGGGGGCCCCATATTGAAATCGGCAACCCGATATTTCGACCGGATCAATGTTGTTTAGGTTGTATTCCTGTATCAGGCTGGGACGACTAGAATATAACTTACTACGAGCCCAGACTTTATTTGAGCCTATATTAACGAATATTTGGACTTCGACAGCAAGTATATTTCAAAGACATTACTCCAGAACCCTCTTCTTCTGTCATATTTTGTAAAAATTTGGTCGGTGACCATATCCAAAACGATGATGTGTTTTAATAGGAAGATGCATTTGTGCATACCATTGATAGTCTCACATTACCAATAAACATTTTTTATTTTATTTTTTAAGTATTTACCAAATGCAGGACACACAATCCTCTGCTTAAGTGTCTGCTCCGGCGCTAGAGCGGAAAACAGCAGTTATTACGTGAGCGGACTTTACTTCGCAGTCTTCTTTGTACGTAAATATTTTTCCATACTTTCCATCGCCATATTTGCTTTACGTGCAGCTTCCGCTGCTGAATTAAGTTCGGAAGAAATGCATAAAAATCGGCTGCGAAGAGTTGTTGCAGCATCGAAATGAACTTGCTGCAATAGCTGGCACGTGTGTGCTGCGGCAGGCACAATGCCTCGGACGGTTGCATACATTTAGGTGCAAACAACTTGTTATTCACAGCGGACTCATGTTTATTTAATTTTGATCAATTGCCCATCGAGTGTTGTCACATAAATTGCGGCATGTGGCAAGTTGCGGAAAGTATTAAATTTCTTTGTGAGTTCGATTCGGCACCGACAGACAGAGAGTGAAACAAGTGTCTGAAAGTATGCAATAGATTTGGACTGCAGCGGTCATTTTGTGGCAAGTTATTTGTTTGCGGTGGCAAAATGAAGAAAATTCAAATGCAGGAAAACAGATATTTGGTTGTTCAATGAATTAATTTTTTTCCTTTTTCTGAATAGAAATGTTTCAACACTTCATGTGCGTGTGAGTATGTGTATAAAAGTGTGCGGTTGCTTTGAAAAATCATCAATGCTCTGTGGTGGTCTGCCGTTTTTGCGCTGCAGCCGAAACAAGTCAGACTGAAATAGAGACTTAACATATGTACACTTGTATAAGTTTGTATTTATATTATACTTTATCCCTAAGTGCGCTGTTTACTTGTTTGTCCTTTTTTGCCATGAATTTAAGTTCATAAATTATGCAAAAATTGTGAGTCTGACTTGACGGAACGTATGTGTTCATTTACCCGCAACGCTTTGCGCCCCTCCACCCGATGACATCAATCCACTGCCTAGTGTATTTTACTTACATGCTTTTATAATAGGATGTTGCACGAATGCTTGCAACGGTAAAATAGCAATCGCAAGCTATGGCAAATAGTAGTAGATGAATACATATCCCTTGTGGCAGCTAAATATGCGCTGTCGAAACACGAGCGCCATTTGTTCATTTCGAGACCAATAAAACGGGAATATTTCAGTTCCAGCATCAGCATCAGCATGAACATCGACTAAATCTGCCACTGCACACACTACTGCTCATCCTTAACTGCCAGTCTCATGCCACTGCTCCATCTCGTCGTTTTGTTTTCCTGCCTTGAAGGCGCTGTTGTACTAAATTTTCATGTTTGTATTTTCTATTCAACGGCGGAGGCGGTGACGGTGCCGCATAGCCACGTTGTAGGCGAGAGATAAGTGCAGCGTGGAGTCTTCAGCTTGCACTCTGTGCTGTGCTTGTACAGGCGCAGGAGGATGGGTGGTTGGGGTGCTGCTGTTTGTGGTCTCCCATATCCCGCCAACTGCTTAGCTCGTAAACTGTCGGTCTTTGGTTGGGTTGTAATTTTTCGTGCCTCACTTTTGCTTGCCAAATAAATGCATTTTGTTTTCAATTTGTTTACGAGCAAAATCAAGTTGTCAAGAGGGAGATGGTATAAGAGTGAGTAGCAAGGAAAACTCGTTTCTAATGCATTTAGGTATTGGATCATTCACAATTTAATTCAATTACTCCTGTAAAATGTAGATAATTTTTGATGTCTCTCAAGCGACGGTCCTCTTCTCTAATGGTTTAGTTCATCATGCGAGTCTAATGATTATCTGAACTCTGAAGAGAACTTCACTTTTAGTAAAAAAGGTGTTTGACTTTGTGAACTTGGTGTTCCTTCAGAGGCAGGCGGTGAGTATTGCGTAAGTGAGTATCCGGTGAGATTTGTTCAACGCATTGAATCTTCTTCTCGACTCAA